TGGTACTACCAGAACCGGACGAAGATGGGAATCAACCAACACTGAAGTTCATTAATCATCACAAAATGCTACAATGTCCCTATGTAATCTATGCTGACACTGAGGCACTGATCAAGAAAATTGATGGAGTGAAAAGCCAACAAACCAGCCGGGATTCACAACATGTTCCTTGTGGTTTTGGTTACGTCGTGGTGCGTTCTGACGGAGTGATGACAAGTCAGTGTTTCTACCGGGGTGTTGATGCCATGGATGTATTCTTTGATAAACTCAAAGATGAGGAGAAGAAAATCCAATCAGCACTCAATAATCCAGCACCGATGGATCTCACTAAGGAACAAGAAGAATTGTTCAGAGAGACAGAGGACTGTTGGATTTGTAAAAAGAAACTTGGTGATGACAGAGTCCGTGATCACGACCACATCACTGGTGATTTCCGCGGTGCCGCACACAACGACTGTAACATCAAACTCAGAATTTATCCATACAAGCAGCACATCCCTGTGGTTTTTCACAACCTGAAAGGCTATGACAGTCATCATCTCATCGGAGCAATCGGTAAGACAGATGTTGAGACCGTCACATACACGGATAAGGATGGTGTGTGTAAGAGTAAAACTGTGGGTGAGATATCAGTCATTCCCAACAATATGGAGAAATTCATCTCATTCACATGGAGACAGTTCCGGTTCATCGACAGCTGCCAGTTTCTCAATGCGTCACTCGATAGACTGGTGAAAACGACACCAGATGAGTCATTCACTTTCACCAAGACGTTGCCAAACCATCAGCTGTTGATGAGGAAAGGAGTATACCCCTATGAGTACATGAACAGCTTCTCCAGGTTCGATGAGACTCAGCTACCAGCACAGAGTAAGTTCTATTCTTCTCTGTCTGATGAGGGGGTGAGTGACGATGACTACAAACATGCTGAGACAATGTGGATGAAATTCGACTGTCAGACTCTTGGTGATTATCACGACTTGTATCTCAAGACCGACGTGTTTCTCTTGGCTGACATCTTTGAGAATTTCAGAGTAGAAGCTGTCAGAACGTATCAGCTGGATCCAGCAAATTACTATACTCTGCCTGGATTTGCCTGGGATGCTCTGTTGATGTACTCAGGTGTATCCTTGGAATTACTAACAGACTATGATCAGCACTTGTTTGTAGAATCAGGAATGAGAGGTGGTGTGTCGATGGTCTCACAACGATATGCTGCTGCTAATAATCACTATCAGGAGAAATTTGATGCTGATCAGCCATCGTCATTTATCCAGTATCTCGATGCCAACAATCTCTATGGTTGGGCAATGTCACAGCATCTCCCAGTGTCTGATTTTCGGTGGGAGAAACCATCAGAGAAACTCCTGAACAAGATACTGAACACTCAAGATGATTCCTCATCGGGGTATATCGTCGAGTGTGATCTGGAATATCCACACGAACTTCATGAGAAGCACAACGATTATCCAGTTGCTCCGGAACGTCTTTCCGTCAATGAGGACATGTTATCTCCATACCAGCAGGAGCTTGTTGATAAACTCAATTCTTCAGGAGTAGATGCTCTCAAACTTGTACCAAACTTGAGGGACAAGACAAAGTACGTTCTCCATTACCGAAACTTGAAACTCTACACTCAGCTCGGACTACGTTGTGTCAAAATTCATCGTGCTCTGAAATTTACTCAGACACCGTGGATGAGAAACTACATCGAGAAGAATACAGACCTCCGGAAGAAGGCACAGGATGATTTCTCTAAGGACTTCTATAAACTGATGAACAATGCGGTGTTCGGGAAAACTATGGAGAACGTTCGGAGGAGAGTCAACATAAAATTGCTGAGAAGTCGTGAGGAGAAAAAAATCAAACAGCTTGTTGCCAAACCAACGTACAACCGCCATGTGATCTTCAACGATGACCTGGTCGGGGTACAAAGCAACAGGACAAAGGTCGTCCTCAACAAGCCCATATATGTTGGGATGTCGATTTTGGATCTCTCAAAGACACTCATGTATGACTTTTACTACAATCACCTGAAAGTGATGTATGGCTCTGATGTGAGACTCTTGTACACCGATACAGACAGCTTGGTTCTTCATTTCTTTACTGATGATCTGTTTGATGACATGAGTGAGTTTCTTGATAAGTATGATACAAGCAATTATGATCAATCACATCCGTTATATTCCGAGAAAAACAAGAAAGTTGTTGGCCTGTTCAAAGATGAACTCGGTGGGAAACTGATCACTGAGTTTGTAGGACTTCGCTCCAAGATGTACAGTTACTCTGGTGAGGAAAGTGGAAAAAGAGCAAAGGGGGTGAAAACAGCAGTGCTCAAGAAAACTATCACACATGATGATTTCCGAAATTGTCTCTTGGATCAATCCGTTTTCCATCGAGAAATGACAACACTCCGGAGTCATAGTCACGTTATTTTCGGAGAAACGGTTAATAAGATAGCCTTATCACCATTGGACACAAAACGATACATCACAGAAGATGGATGTAGCACGTTAGCGTTCGGGCACCATGAAATACCAAGATATCTGGCTGAGGAGGGGTTTGATAGCAGCATTTCATTCATGAGTTATGCTCCGGATATGATGAAGCAGTTTGTCCAGTGATCATGAGAAAGAAAAAAAAGATATATTTTTTTTACTTTTCTTATACATTCGATTCTCTATAGTTCTTCCATATGACATCAAGTCTTTGTTGTGATTTTTTACACTTTGGAATGAATGGTTTGATCTTGATCACATCATCTTCATCAGCAATGAGTTTCGAAAGTAGGAATGGGTAACTCACTTTAACTTTTTTCTCTTTATTTGCTACTTCCTTGATCCTCTGAATTTTATCAACAAGATTGTTGAATGAGGTTTTGCTAAGATATTTTGGTAAACCAACCTTGTTCAGGGTTATCTCCAACCTTGTTTCGATTCCTGTTCTGGTTTTGGATTTTTCTATTTCTTCGAGGAAAGATGTGGTATCATACAGACCATTTTTCTTCATCTCATACACCTCAAGATCCTCTGGAGTTACTTCATTTTCCAAAATCATCAATTCTATATCTGTAGGAAACCATTTCTGGTTTCTATAGTCAATGTAGTCCGCTATCATCTTATCTTTCCTGGTAGAGTGTTCATCATCTATCCATGTATCCATCACCTCTTCTTCTTTGTTTGTGGAGTAGTCGTCATCAAACCACGCATTCATGATTTCACTTCTAAAAAAATATTTTTTGCTTTTTGTTTTTGTGGATTGTTTGACTATTTTTTACAAATTGTTTGCTGAGAATTTCACTTCTTCTTTCTGGAAATGCTTTATAGCAACAACAACAAGTTTGAGACTGAGAGTGTCATCAGTCTTGTCTTTGTAAACCCACTTCAGGTGAACGATACCATTGACGGTGTCACCTTGCTTGATCTTGTTGGTTTTTGATGGTTTGTTGCCCTCATCAAAGATAGCACAATCAGGAGAAATTTGGAGAAAGAGGATTGGGTGGTCACACTTTGCTGTGTTAATCCTGCTTCTAACCGTATTTCCTTCGGATTCGATCTTCTTCTCGATACAACGGATGGATTTACAAATGTCACTGTCAGAAGAAAATTTCAGAGAGTCCTCTTGTCCTTTCTTCACAACATTCATGATATTTGTCTCATCAGTGAATTTTATGTATGGCTCCTTACCATTGATTGTCAGTGATCCACATTTATTCCCATCCTTGATTGTAATTCGACAATCAATGGAGTCAGTGAGAACATCAGCTGTGGCAAACGGGGTTGGCTTCTTGCTTGTCATCTTGGAAAGTTTGTGTAGAATCGTTGTTTATACCTATGACAACCGTTCCTCTAATATAGAATAATTAGGATTCTCATCCAAAGCTGAACCACCCGAAGTTGGCTCAGAAACCGATCCCACATCAGTCCTCGAAGTGAGCCAAGATGGGGTAAATGAAAAAGCTGAAGTTGGCTCACTTCCGATTTTCTCGGAGACAGCAAGTTGACTCACTTTTCTGGAACGGGGTTGAGCCAACATGGGATCAGTGGTTGGAGTTGTAAAATTAGTACTATAGTAGTATAGGGGGAGGGGGAGACTTTGGAGGGAGGCCCGAAGGGCCGATCGACAAAGTCGATTTTGGCTCACCTGGAAGGTGAGCCAGAACCCCCTCCCCCTATACTACTCTCTCCACACTATACTTTTCGCTATATATTTTTTCAATCTTTTTTGTTTCTCTTCTTCTCCCGATTTTCTGATGCGTGAAGTAGGCGCGGATGCCGAGACCATTGGTCGGCGGAGCCTGCAGCACCTCATCACCACCGCTGCGTTGCATTTGCAGCCCCATTCAGTCAATGTCTTGTTAGTCTGTTGTTTTGTCATTTCCTGCTTCTTTCTTCTTTTACGAATTGGGTGCGTGGTTTCAAGTAAAAAAAAAAAAAAAAAGCCGCTAAGTCCCCGTACATTAGCATACGGAGTCTGCCTGTGCATTAAAGCTGCTGTACACGATTCTTTTGAGCAAGTTAATTTCATTGCCAGTTATAGTTACATTTCGATTGCCAGTTACAGTGTGTTCACTGAGACCCTTGTGTATTCTTGCCTCCGAGAGACTGCGGCCAGATACACATGCACCATGTACACCTACAATTCCTGCACTGATGTGTAGATCTACCATGCCTGGTGCACCATGCAATGCGTACATTTACATGACTAGCACTGTGCAACGCGGTCGCGGGTGGGTGGTCGTCGGTCGCGTTGAGCGAGTGGTCGCCTTGTCCGAGGTGTTTTGAATGTGAATGCGTCCGTGAAAAGGAAAAGTGGTGGCCATGGTCGAGTGGTCGCCATATCCGAGTGGTCGGTTTTACTGTATGGCCACAGGCAGCAACGCTCCTGTTATACATCAGGAACAAGGCTCTACCTTCCTGTTCCACGATCCTGCTGATCAAACACCGATTTGCGTGCAAAGATCAAGCCCGTGCGTGTAAATACAAACAGCTTCAAGGACCTTCAACTGCTGAACGTAACGGGCACAGCACATTTTGATTTTGCATGTCATACTATACAAAATATGGATTCATACTCAGTATACATTTTTATAGGGGCTTTGCGAGTACAGACACTTCACGAGTAACGACATAATTCTGAGGTCGGCCAGAGAGCGCAATTGGTGGAGGTCGAACTGCTCAATTGATTAACAGGCCAAGAGCTGCTGCTTATCCTTTTAGTACAATAGAAATGCTCCTAAAACCAGTTCACTGCGCCATGTATCATCATCAAGTTAGGCTGTGTGATGGTTGAATACTGTAAAAGCCATAATATTTAAGAAAGTGCTAACTCTAACGAGTTCACGAGGAGAAATCTGTCGTTAAATTAGAAATCGGTATGCAGAAATCGATACATATACTGTCCTATTGAGCGTTGAGAATGAGTGAGATTCGTTACCTTTGGTACACGCAAACTAGTCAATTTTGGGAGATCGTTACATATGCGCCTCGTTAGAATAATGGGCTTTTATAGTACGTAGTATTGAATATTGCAACGAAGAAAAGACAAGACGACTCGTCAAAACCAAAAGGAAAGGCTGAACAGCAACAAGACACAGGGAAGTAAACACACTAATGTATCGTTACTCCCTAACCAAGATTGCGCATCTTCATACTCTCAAACCCTTCGCTCGACATCTGCTCAGGTTTGTCCTCGTTGCTGGCGAGATCAGCGGACGACGAGTAAGCGTAGCGGCTGTTGTCCTCCGATGGCCTCCACAGCACCATCATGAAGAGCAGCAGGAAGCTGAAGAGAATGTGCCAGAAGCCATCCAGCAGCCAGATATGTTGCCAGTCCTTGATGCAGGCCGAGGAGCGGAACTGCAACTTCGCCCACATGCCGAACGCCACGGAAGCGACCGCGGCGAAGATGATGGCGATGGAGAAGTACCGGTGGAGTGAGAGCTTGACTGTGTTGTGAAGCAGGCGCAGTATTCGCATCGTGTACTTGATCGACTTGTAGATGAAGTAGACAATTCCGACGTCGAGCAGAACGACCGCCAGCGATATCACCTGTCCCTCGGTGGTGGCGACCTCCTCGGAGCTGGCCACGGCGCGCAAAATACCCTCGACCGACGCGGCCATGAAGTACAGAATACCGATGCCGACAACGGGGACGAGTTTGGAACCAAGTCCTTGCTGTACGATGCCAACGCCCAGCGAGATGATGATGACGAGAAGTCTGGCCAGTGTGCGCTTGCCCGCCGACACCATCTCAGCAGCGACGAGCAACGACATGCCCTCTCTGCCCTCGGCGTTACCACGGTAATACTCGCTGAAGAAGAACACCTTCTCAACCAAACCCAGGGCAATGACTGCGCCAATCCACAACTGGACACGCAGCAAATCCTTGTAGTGGCACATGAGTGCAAGCAGCCAGCCGAACGCATACAGCGAGTACAGGGCGGTCATGATGCCATAGAAGACCAGATTGGGATAGTCGAGCGCAGACAGGTATCCCCAGCGGTTCTTCATCTCCACCTGTACAGCTACAGTGACGTTCAGAACACCACCGTTGGACACGGGGTCAGCTTGCGCGGCAAAGACCAGCGCGAACACCTGGCGCTTGGTCGTCTTGCACACCACCTCCTTCTTCACTTTCTTGTAGAACGGAGCGCTGCGCCGCGTGCGCGCTTGAAGAACGGCCTCCATCAGATCGCTCACACTCACACTTAGCGACCGCTTTTTTGTTCCCACGGGGTTCGCTGCAGGCTCATTTGGAGGTACCTTGGACGACTTGTCAGCCCCATCCTCGCTGTCGTTCACTTTTAGTCCGGCCGCAGGATCCAAACAGGTGTTGTGGTATGCGGTATCCTCCAGCCATGCTCTCTCGGGAGCGACCTCCGTGAACTGCAACGGATCGCCACTACCGGTCGTACTTGCTGTGCAATCCAGAGGGATCTCCACCCACTCTGTCCCCACCACTGGATTGTCGCCAAAGTCTCCCTGAAGCACTATACTTTCTTCGAGTCTGTCTAAATAACTGGCACACTGCGTTATGAGTAGTCTGTATTTCAAATGAACTTTTGCCGCACCTACCGAATGGCATGCGCCCTTGAAGTCGATGGTAGCGTTCTCCGACAGTGTCAGCGTCATCCATTTCACAGAGACATTGCCCGGATCAACCAGTTCAAGGCTGCAGTCTTTTATTCCAGGTTTGGGGAACGCCAAACAGGTCTGCAACGCTGCAAACAACATCGTCAGAACAGCTAATGGCTTGCTAGGAGCCATTGTACCAGGCGCGTCCACCAGCAAGAACTCCCAATTAGTCTGAGTCACGAGCCAACTCAAACTAATAATAATTACTTGAGTCAAAGTGACTTGGACTACCCTGGCCTGAAAAATTTAGAAAATGCAAGGCCTTTCTCTTCAAAGAAGTATGTTCAATGCGCTTAGAATAAGTTAGATTTTTGTACAGGTTGTAGATCTACCCAGTCGCTATCGAACCGATCCAGCCTGAGCCAGCATCAGTGAGTCCTGCATCATGTACATACGCGTATTGACAACCAGTACTAGATCTACGCCAGTACATGTAGTAGATCTGCCAGTCTCAGTGCTAGCTGCCAAACAACTGCCACTGTCTGTGTGGCACTGTGTCTGTTTTTTGGGTCTGTTTTGGGTAGATGTACCTACTACCGGTCTTACCTGATCACCGGTACTTCGACTTCTGATTTTCCGTACTCGTAATACCATGAATACATGTAGTACAATCATCATGTCATGTATCTTGCAGTAAATTAAAATTTATTTGCGTAATACCAATGGCATGCTCTGTCATGTCGTCGTCTGCTTTCATCGTGTTTTTGACACACACAGACTCCGGCCGTCAGTGATAGGCTGCTAACGCACTACGAGTAGTACCACTGCACTATACTAGGCCATAGCCTACTTCAAGTACTTGAACTACTAACTCTAGTACTCTGTAATGTTGGGCACGTCGCCGTCGCGGCTAGCTAGTGCAAACCGTGTGTCACTTGTACATCTACCACGATCACGTGATTTTTGTCCTACATCGTACATCAGATTATTAGACATGGTTACAGGTTAGCATTTTACCGTTCACGCTATTTTCGACGGTCGGCCTGCACCGTTTTTTGTGTGTACGTGTGTAGACATGCCATTTTACCGTTCACGCGGTAGATCCAACGGTGCTCATACCCAACAGTGTTGGGGAACCGACGGTATTTTGGGTGTTGGGCCAACACCCAAAATACCGTCGGTTTGGTACCGTTTCGACGATAGAAAGCTCTGCTTAGCGGGAGAACGAAACGGTAAGATTCCAACTAGGGTTACCTCACACGTCTATCGTTGCGTCAGGAGTGAGGACTCAGAAGCCGAACTGCTAACCGTGCCTCGAAAACACCACACCACTGCACCACTGCACCACTGTACACTCCGGCCGTCGAAAATAGCGTGAACGGTAAAATGCTAACATTTGTAACAATGTCTACTACAGATGATCCTGTACGCGTTACGTAACGAGCGTACGCGTAACGAAACGATGAGTCATGGATAGGCCTTTGCGGATAATGCCGGCAGAAAAATTGGCAGAATTCGGTACTTTTTCGGGTAAGTAATAGTTTCATGCATGTTTGGTATGTGGATAAAGAAATGGAGCAGAATTCGAGGAATTGCCCGCCAAGACCTCGACACATCTTAAATGATGCACTGTACAGGAGATGCCAACCTCACCCCCTCAGCATCACCATCAACCACCAGCGCATGGCTCTACTTGGTCACGTGCTCCGTTTGCCCGCCAACACCCACGCTCAGCTCGCCATGTTATTATGTATTTCCAGCAAGTCCTGCGGGTCGAGCGACCATGCAGTTCATCGGAGCAGTCCTGTGGAACCAGCTCCCGCCTGATCTCCGTTCCGAGCCCAGCCATATTCAGTTCTGTGCCCTGCTAAAAGCGCATCATGGCTCCGTTTGAATGCTTTTCGGCTAGTGTGTTTCTGTGGTATAGCGGACTGAAGAATAGTAAACGTGTTTTGCAATATATGTATGTATGAAGCTATTTTGTATTATAGTATGTTCCCATTCCGTTTTTGCTTTGGTGTAGCCCTGAGGTTGATTGCTTATTTATTTCTACCCTTCCTCTCTCCATACTTCTGTCCCCCCCCCCCCCTCTCTCTCTCATTCCTTCTGTCGTCCACATGTATCAAAGGAGGCGAAATCGCCTGTTTGTAGTGCGACGTTAAAATTTAACGTCGCACTACAAACAGGCGAAAACTTCTACAACAACAAGTGACGAATCCCACTGCAGAGCGTTTTCTGGGTCCGGGTGGCTCTCGCACCACTCTAGCGACAACTGTCATTGCTGACCAAACGGGATTATAGCAATAAAAACTGCTTTAAGGCAGTTTTCTAAAAAAGGTTATTGTGTTCTAGTCCATGGACCCCGTCTAAAAAGTAAGAAATTAACGAAATGTGATAGCCGAAAATTAAAATTTCACACAAAACCTCACAATAATCACAACAGTTGAAATGCTGCTTTCAACACTAAACTTGTACTGCACCAACAATTGGCAACATGCATGTCATCAAGAGTACATAACCCCCGGTATGTACTCTTGATGTCATGTATGCATAGGAAAGAGGATCACGAGGGGAAAAGGTCTTCTACATGT